TAGGAAACTCGAGAATGTCCCGAGAAAGCCGCAATTCAGGGTAGACGCAAAGACCATTCGACCAAGCAGATTCATTGATAAATCAATTCCATACATATGATTCGTTCTATTCGGTGTGCGACAGTCAACTCACCATCTGAGGTCTGGGGGAAGGCTAGACCGGACATCTACGAGACGCGTGGAAACGCGATTAATGGTGGTGTTCAACCTACTCTCAATATCTTTGAGATACGTGTTAGAGAGCCTTTTACTATAAAAAGGCTCATAAACGGTCAATCGTCGCAAGTTTGGCCACATCGCGTCAGAGGAGAAAACTTCTTCGACCAAGCATCTCTCCAACGAACTACCTTCCTTCCATCCCGCCCGGGAGTATATATCGAGACCACTCACATCGGCAAAAGGGCCTCGAAGAAAGGGCATAAGAATCGAGCCAGAACCGTCCTCATGGATGCTCAGCCTCTTGGGCCGCATACTTGTCCCCAGCAGTCCGTCAATCTCATCTATCAGTAATGGTAGAGGATCGTCTGCATTAGCATGGAGAGATAATCTTTCCACGTTTGGGGCGTCAATATGAGCGAGGCCGGTCCAGGATCCGATCAAGGCGAGGTCGATGAGACGAGGGAGAACCAACTGCATTCGGACTTGCTTATACTTCCTGTCTTCTTTATTTGTGCGTATAACCAGCTCTCGGAGCTGATAGAGGACAGGCTCAGACGGGAAACCGGCAAGGAGAGAGTAGCAGGTTTCGAGTCGTTCCAACATAAACCTCCAAAGGACGACGCCTTGCAGAACCGCTCGTACTTTTTCAGGAGTATATGAAGGACCATCCCACGTTAAGTCCTTCAAATTCCGAAAGGAGGACAAGAGGGAGATCGAGAAGGTGTTTGAGAGGCTGGTCGCGAATTCACTGCTGCCCCAGGACTCTCCATCGTATCGAAATTTTGAATGAAAGGACTGAAGGTCACCAAGTATGGTAGCGACGGAATGGGACTCGTCAAACATGCTGCCATCTGGCCGAGCGTGCCAGACCTCCATCGTCCCGAGACTATGGACATTTGGGTCGATCCTGCTCAAGATCGAAGAGGTAACCATTCCTCCGTCATGAAGCGAAAGAGATCGGAGGTTGCGGAAAGAGGGTAGATGATTCAATAAGGGCACGAGTTCGTCTTCTGCGCCCCAGAGACAGTTCGTAGTCATCCTTATGCACTGAGTCTGAAACTTTTGCCATGGAACGGAGTCCCAGATGTCATCGGTCGATGGGATGATTGGCGTGCAAATGGAAAGTTCAAAGTGGACATCTCCAACCAGCTCTAGAGCCCGGCGAAGATGTAGGGTCGAGCGGCAGCAATAATCGAATTCGTGAGTGACGATCTCCGCGGCCGGTCGAACGCTATACTTCCCGCAGGTGCAAGTTTCGGAGAGGTAGATGCGGCGAGATAAGGAAATGGCGGAGGAGAGGAGAGTGCACCATAAGCGACACGTTAGGCGAAGGGCGACGAGAGATCGGGTTCGATCATGATATTCAAGAAAGATTTGGAGCAGTACCTCGTCGGGGAGGGTTGCAATCAGGGCAAAACCGTCATGACGAGGTGAGGATTGCATACTACACAATAATTTTTATTAGCTGAAGATCGAAGGAATGCTCATGAGTTCAGGAGACGTACGGCTTGGTGCTCAGCTGTTGCCTGTATGGTTGGGATGATTGGGTGGGATCAGGGGAGTGAGGTTTGGACCGTGTGTTTCAGGGGAGAGCGATTAATCGCTTCTGCACAAGGGCGTTTGTGTACAGCCAGCTGAAACGGTCATTGCCAGTTCCAATGAATGTAGCGGCGCTGTAGGCTCATCGCCAGCCATCCAACCAAGGGCTTATCGCTGACAGAAATTCAAAATCTACCGCGGCCGGGACCCGAACCTGGAATCTTCCCATCTCTAGTAAGGATGTTCTACCATTGAGCTACCTCGGTGAGCGGTGTGGATTCCCAAATTCCAACAATCGCCACCCACCCATCACCGCCATCAGCCCTTGTCCTCAATTGTAATCGATTCAAAATTAAGCGAATGATAAAAATGGGCGTGCCGTTGCTGTTTGAGAGTGAAAAGCAAGCTGTGATGGGCGCGCTATGCCGGCATCGCTGCTACTTGGAAATACCAGACGGGACGGTGGCGTGCCAGTAACAGATAACTGAAGGTACGGGAGAGTCTTGAAGGGCGCGGGATGACCGTCTTTATGGGGGCGCCACACGCCGAGGAACACATTGAATCAGCGCCTTTATGCAGCCAAGCTGAGCGTTGAAAGGAAAGGAGGCTCGAGATATGGGTGCTCGTCAAGATAGCCTTGTGGGATATGAAACCATGGAATAGGCTATTGGTTGAAGTTTGCATGATTTGGTGATTCTACTGGTTTATTTTGTAAATTGTTGGCATAGCGGGCTCGTCCCAGTCAGCCTCCCGGTGTCCACGGAGCATTTGGGCGCAATATATACACACACACAGAGCCCTCTCTCTGCTGCGGGCGTTGTAACTCCAAACAGTAATACTATGGTCAGTGTCCATCTGCTCGCCTATAAAAGGTATGCTTTTGACATCTCCTGGATCACCAGACTGGCTCTCCCACTTTTCCTTTCGTCCTCTCAATTTACTTTCTCTTCCATTGTTCTTTTTTTTTTTTCTTTTTTTTTCAGCCTTCATCTTTGTTTTATCTATCGCACGCTTAGCAGACATGCGCTTCTCCTACGTGTTTGGTTATCTTGCCACTCTCTCTGTCGGCGCCGTGCTCGCTCTTCCGGCCCCCCACCACCAGTACGTATTCGATTTTATCCCTTGATGATACTCATCTGACTCTACAACTATAGGAACACTCCATCCACAGCTCACGCTGTCGCTCATTCCCACCCTCTTTCCGTTCCTCACCAGTCGCCATCCGTCGTCGAGGCCGAAACAACGGGACTCATAACGCCTTCAACAACATCGTCGTCACCAAAATTGAGGAAACGACATCTTGTCGAAACTGCAACGACCGAAGCTCAGCATGATATGCAGATTAGATTACACAGCGCACAGAAGGAGACCAACAAAGTGTCGTCAAACAGACACAAAATAAAAGCGGACAAAGCGATGGCAGATTGGCAGGAAGAGTTCAAGACAAACGGGCATTCGAACACCCCAAAAGCGGACCGGCTCTACGAGGAGCATAGGCTCCATAAGCACCTGGAGAAACACTACGATGAGCTCTCCAATGCGTCAGAAGCCGGAGTAAAGTACCACGAATCCAGAAAACAAGCTCTGCTGATCGCAAAGGCCTACGAGGGCAGGCAGATTCCTGCACACGAGCAGGCAAGGATTAATCACCATAATGCTGAAGCTTTGGAGCACCGAAAAAGCTTCTACATGCATGATGACCTTGCTCATAAAGCCTGCGTAAACCCAGCTGACAATAGCTGTTAGTAGTGGCTGCATGATCCATCGTCATCAGGTTGATACCTCTCGACTTTTATCTATCTTTATTGCAATAACCTTGGTTGTACTTTAGGCCATTATTTATTCATCCTTGGTTGCATTAAACCAAAAAAATTGGCACATAAACTGTCATCGCAGTTTTCAGGTGAACAGTGCAAAAGTGTCCGTAAAATTGCGATGACTATAATAATTATATATATGTATGTATGTTATGTTCGTTCACAAAGTTGGATTCAGAGCTCAAAGGCTTGGTCGAGAGAGAATCGGAGCTGATAGAGGACAGGCTCAGACGGGAAATCGGCAAGGAGAGAATAACAGGTTTCGAGTTGGCCGAATGTAAACCTCCAATGGACGACGCCTTGTAGAACCGCTCGTACTTTTTTAGGAGTATATGAAGGACCATCCCACGTTAGGTCCTTCAGATTCCGAAAGGAGGACAAGAGGGAGATCAAGGTGGTCGAGAGGCTGGTTGCGAATGTATTGCCGCCCAAGGACTCTCCATCGTATCGAAACATTGAATGAAAGGACTGAAGGTCACCAAGTATGGAGGCGATGCGATGTGGTTCATTAAGCATGCTTCCATCAGCGTTCCAAACCTTCATCTTCCTAAGACTATGGGTGTTTGGGTCGATCTTGCTCAAGATCGAAGAGGTAACTATTCCTTTGTCATGAAGTGACAGAGACTGGAGGCTGCGGAGAGAAGGTAGACAGTTCACTCAGGGCACGACATCGTCCTCTCTGCTCATGAAACAGTGGATAGTCAACCCTATGCACTGAATCTGAAACTTTTCCCATGGAACCGAGTCCCAGAGGTCATCGGTCGATGGGATGATTGGCGTGCAAATGGAAAGTTCAAAGTGGGCATCTCCAACTAGCTCTAGAGCCCGGCGGAGATGTAGGGTCGAACGGCAGCAATAATCGACTTTGTGAGCGACAATCTCCGCGACCTGTCGAACGCTATAACCCCCTGCAGGTGCAAGTCTCGCAGAGATAGATGCGGCGAGATAAGGAAATGGCGGAGGAGAGGAGAGTACACCATAAGCGACACGTTAGGCGAAGGGCGACGAGAGATCGGGTCCGATCGTGATATTTGGAAAAGATTTGGAGCAGTATCTCTTCCGGAAGGGTGGTAATGAGGGCAACGCTGTCACGACGAGGTGAGGATTGCATACTACATAATGATATTTGTTAGCTGAAGAATAAATGTTGACGATTCTATCTAGGAGACGGACGTCTTGGTGCTCAGCTGTTGCTGCATATATGGTTGGGATGATTGGATAGGATCAAGAGAGCGAGGTTTTGAACATGCGTTCCAGGGAGAGCAGACTAACCCATAAAAGGGTGTGTACAGCCAGTCCAAACGATCATCGCCGGCCACAAATCAATGTGGACCCGCGATTGGGTCATCGCCAGCCAAGGGGTCATCGCCACCCCAAATGAGTTCATTGCCGCCATCGAATGGAGGGCCCCCATCGGCGCTCTTCCTACCAATCCAACCAATCCAAGGCGCCCCGCAGCTAATAAAAATGGGCGCGCTGTGGTTGTTTCAGAGTGAATTGAATCAAAGGCACGCCTGTGATGGGCGCGCCGTATGGGCTGTGTCTGCGAAGGTTACGATGGCATTGCTGCTACTTGAAACCTCGGATGGATGGTCACATATCATTCACAGCTAACAGAGGGCGCGAAAGAAACTTGGCGGGCGCGGGGTCTCCTTTTGGAGGCGCCCGGCGCCGAGGTACACACTGAATCACTGAATCACTCTCTCTCTTTAGGCAGCCATGCTACCCAAAGTCCTCTCTATGCTCTGTACGATGAAACTGCAGACAGTAAATGGCGCGGTCAGTATCCATCTACTTGCCTATAAAAGGTATGCTTTTGACATCTCCTGGATCACCAGACTGGCTCTCCCCACTTTTCCTTTCGTCCTCTCAATTTACTTTCTCTTACATTCTTCTTTTTTCCTTCTTCGTTCCATCTTTCATCTTTTTTTATCTATCGCATTCTTAGTAGCCATGCGCTTCTCCTACGTGTTTGGTTATCTTGCCACTCTCTCTGTCGGCGCCGTGCTCGCTCTTCCAGCCCCCCACCACCAGTACGTATTCGATTACATCCCTTGATGATACCCATCTGACTCTCCAACTATAGGAACACTCCATTAACAGCCCAGACTGGCGACGCTGTCGCTCATTCCCTCCCTCTTTCCGTCCCTCACCAGTCGCCATCCGTCATCGAGGCCGAAACAACGGGCCTCACAACGTCTTTAACAACGTCGTCGTCGCCAAAATTGAGGAAACGACATCTTGTCGATACTGCAGCGACCGTAGATGAGCATAAGATGCAGATGAGAATGCAACACGCACAGGTAGAAACCAACAAAGAAGCATCGGAAAAACACGGTCAAAAAGCGGCGAAAGCCATGAAAGCATGGGAGGCAGAGTTCCAGGCCAATGGGCATTCCAACACCCCTAAAGCAAAACTGCTCTACGAGGAGCATACGCTCAATAAGCATCTGGAGAAACACTATGATGAGCTCAGCAAGGCGGCAGAATCCGGGAAAAGTTATCACGCATCTAGAAAAGCAGCTCAGGAGATCAGAGATAGCTACGCCGACAGGAATCTGCCTGCACACGAGCAGGTCAGGATAGATCAGCATGAGGCCGAGGCTGCAGGACACCAAACCAGCTACAACATGCATACGGACCTTGCCCATAAAGCCTGCTTGGACCCAGCTAGCGGTGGCTGTTAGTAGTGGTTACAGGATCCATCGTCATCAGGTCGATACGTCTCGACTTCTATCTATCTTATTCACAAAATTGTGATTGAATTGTATTTATTATATTTATTGTTTATTCAGCCCTGGTTGCAGTAAGCCGAAAAATTTAGCGCGTAAACCGTCGTCAGGAGGAGTCGCCTGTCGAAGAGTGGAAATTTGTCTGGAAAACTGCGATGATTCAAAAAAAAAAAATTATAATTCATTTTCGTTCACCAAGTTGGATCCAGAGTTCGAAATCTTGGTCGAAAGAAGATGACCTTCAGAGATGGGACGGTGTCATAAGTAAGTAAGAATAAATTCGAAAACTATACCATGATCGTACGAAGCGAAGAGGAGACAGAATCCAGCATTAGCCATAAAGCTGGATGACCAACTCGTTTAGACCCTTGATCCTCGACTTGGGACGAGTTCCACGCTCGATCCTAATGTGGTGATTCCCCCTCCCTCCTTTGTCCTCCTATAACGCTACATGTAGTATCGCGTTTCAGATATCCCCATACATCCCTGTCCTTCCTTCCCCAGATGATTCTGACATGGGTATGTTCCTGTTTTATACCTGGATGGAAAATTGCGATTGTTTCAAGCGATACCAGCAGATTTTGTTCTCTCGATATTATTATTTTCTCCCCTCTGATTGCTTTCTTCTGATTGCGAAGCCCAACCCTTTACTTTACTTTGGACCCTTCCGCCGCCGCCGCCGCGGTTATCCACCATTGACTAAGCATCCACATCGTC